AAAACAATGAGTAATTAATAGCAAGCAAATTACATAAAATATTTAGCAAAACAATGAATAATAACTTACTTAAAATGTGTTCTTGCCCTAGTTATAAAATAAACACTAATCAGCAAAAATATAACCTATTAATGTATTACGATTACGTTAAATGCATTTTAGCATGGGTCAGCAAAAGACAAAATAAATTATTAATGTAATACTTAACATATCCTCCCCGCGTTGAATTTTAATTCAACTTAGAGTGGTGTCATCTTTATGTTGTTGTGATATCAAATGTTGACCTTGATCTTGGAAGCGGCTGAGGTGTCTGAACATTCGGTTGACCTTGCGTCTGATTGTTTCGTATTAGTTTAGTTATTTTTAAGATGATGATTCCAATAATCAAAAACAAGGCTGCGTACCCCACTGACAAGCTATGCTTTTCAGTTTGCTGTACCTTTGATGATAGTTCAGGTAATGTATCCTTCGTTAGTTGTTTTTGCAGAATTGTTAGTTCTCTTAATTGTGGAAGATATTCAATTTCAGAATTGTTTATCCGCTTAGATAGCTTAATTTCAGGTGTTGAAATTCCTATGCTCGTATATGCTGATTTGAGCAGACTTGTTATGACTTGGTGTCCTTGAATAAGAACCGTGTTGTCTCTGATGACACAATTTGATGCAATTTTTACCATGCCGGTACTATTCAGTATCACTGGAAATGCATTCGAACCGCATACTGCATTGAGTTGCATCGGATATTTGGTAGCGTATATCCAGTGATTTTTGTGTTTCAGCTGAGTCCAAATGGTAGTTTCCTTTAATTCAACTATTTCGCATTCGTCACCTGTTCCATTATTGTACAAATTGATTTCACACTTGCACACATTTGCTCCACGACGATAAATAGATTGAACATTTGAGCAAAGGTATGAGTCCTCTTCAGTTGTAATACACGATTGCAGTGCTAATTTTGTTATGGGGAAGTATTCATCCTTGTGAGAATTGATAGCCAGATATTCTGCTGATGGCTTTATTGACGTTAATACCTTGGTCGCGCTAGAGATCACAGGTACTACATGAAATATTTCAAAGGTTTTTCGTTCAACGAGTGGTATCATAATATTGAATATTACATGGTCACTTGATACCTGCCCAGTTACTTGCATCAGCTTATAAAGAGTTAATATATCATCTTGTTCTACTGGAAATTGTAAATGAGACGGTAAATGTGCTCGGATTTTTTCTCCTTCCGTTATTAACTGTTGCGGCGTAATTAGAAGCGGGTTAATTTTTTCGTGATGACTATCAATGAGAACATCCATGATTGTGGATTGCGTACGTTGCAAATTTATCGTGGCGATTGTCATTTGGATGGCCAGCATGTTAATAATATTGCCATATAATTGGTCATGTTCGTCCTTAACTAACCTTTTGGAGATCGCGTTTAATTGAGTCTCTATACCGTGGAAATTATTTTTGAGACTTATCTGGTTTTTTTTTATAACGTTAATTGTGGAGTCAATTATTGATATTTGATTTTTGAGCAGATGTTTGAGTTTGTCATCATGATCTTCTAGGGTTTTGATCGTCTTCGACATGTCACTTGCATAATTGGAATCGAGTACTCCAAACAGAGAACTTGCTATATTCCCAACTAAATCGATTGCCCCTCTCTTATTTCGGGCGCTTGACATAAATTCAAATGCTGTTCTCAATTCACTTTCTGCTTGCTGGAAATGATGAACCACAAACTTGCATGTTGAATTTAAGTTGCTTTGATCACATAGCTTCAAAAGATTCAACGTTGAATCCTTTAGTATGTCCAGCTCTGTATTAAATGGAGCTAAATCGTAATAGATTATCATTTTCCAGTGGGATGTTATCAATTTTGTTGTTCCTACTTGTTCAAAATGTATGCCAGGAGCGGAGCGAAGTTCAGTTACGTTTACTGGTGAACAAAGAACAATCGGGAGTAAAAGTAGAGATATCAGTACTGTAGTTAATTTTATATTGGAGGACACACGTCTTTGTTTTCGTGGGACTATCTCATTGTCCATTCGTTCTTCTTTGTTATGGCGATTCTCCTGTGTTTTAATAGGTTTGTTTTCAGGAAATAAGGGTGCTAGTTTGTGAATTGGTCGCTTTAACATGCCTGTTGCGGTTTTGACATCTACGACTCGTATAAATCCATCATTACCCTTATATGTCTTCATTATTCGCCCTAAAGGCCATTGCAAAGGTTGTACATTATCTTCTTTAAGGATCACCAGTGTATTTTCTTCAATGTTTTTGCATTCTTCACGCCACTTGTTTCGAACCTGTAGTTCCATTAGGTACTCTGCCCGCCATCTTTTCCAAAACTCTTGTTTTAAGTGTGCAACCAGATTCCATCTATTCAAAAGAGATGATTTTACCTTTTCACATGTTGCGTCTACGGGTGCTGTTAGTGCATCACCAACTAAGAAATGACCTGGTGTGAGAGCCTGCAAATCATTTGGATTAGACGACATTGGTGTTAAAGGTCGTGAGTTTAAAATAGCTTCTATTTCTATAATGACGGTTTCGAGTTCCTCGTACGTTAACGTTTCAGTTGAAACGCTTCGGACCAATAGGTACTTTGCTGATTTAACCGCTGCTTCCCATAGTCCACCAAA